AAAATTTTTCTGTTGTATTGTGAGAATGATTAATTCTGTTAAGGCTTGTTTAGTAGTAGCATCAAAAGCTAGAATTAGTAAAAGCGAGAAGTCAGAAAGCAAAAAAACTTTACAGGCACATGTATGTCCTTAATATTATTTATATTTCAAAAAAAAAAAAAGCATTCGAAAACCTTTTACTTCTGAAAGAAAAAAACTAACTTGGTAATGAAGAAGGATTTCAAACCTAAGGCCATTCATTTAGCCCGAAATCGCTCTAAATCTATATCCAATAAAAGAGCTAAATCATAGTCAACATCGGATTAAATCCTTTATCATTGGGCCAAATGGCCATCACGCTTGCCAAACATAGCAAGCTTAGTAGCCCAGGGCTACATTTTTTTGTGGGCTCCACTTGCTTTTATTATCGTCACTTTCTTCTCAATTTGATTCTCCTTATCTTCTCTCTTCTCTATTCTCTCTCGTCTAAAGACTAATAACTGATATAACAGAAATATAGTTAAAAGGGTATTATTGTAATTGGGTTATATAGCTATATAAGGGATTGTATAGCTATCATTTCCTTAAGTTCATTTGTATACATTTTTTCTAATCAATCAATACAACCAATTCTTTCTCTTCCCTTGTATCAATTCTTCATCTTTTGCAATGTAGTTAATATGGTATCATAGCCACCAAGGCTCACGCCATGGATCTTGGTGGTCAATTCCTCTTCTATCTTTCTTTCGTTTCTGCGTATTTGATCGTTTATGCTTCCGTATTCGTAGTTCTTATTGTTTTTTTTGTCTCTGGATTTTTCTTCCGAGGGTTTTATGTTTAGTTTTGGGATTTTTCTGCTATGAAAAGATCTAAGCATTTCCATGAAGAACAGGAATCAAGAACCTCAAATTTTCATCTGGGTTTCACCGCAAATTTTGACTGGGGCTTCGAGCTCGAGCAAATTGGGCTTCAACCTCCTGATCTTATTAGTCAATTTCTCAACCACTTGGTCCGTGCTCAAATCGACCTACAAATCCTTCTTGATGAACTCGAGGAATGGGGCCACATTCGAATTCGCTGCCACACCTTTCTTGCTTTCGAACTCTATAATGCCCTTCAGGATCGTAATCTCATCGTCCTCGCTCCAAAGCTGCTGCCCTTTTTTTTCAATTCCTCATCGTCGCCGCCGACCTTCTTATTTTTGGAGTTTTTCCAACTGCGAAAGAGGGTTGGTCTAAGCTGATATGGAGGCTTTCTTCGAATCAACCACTGCTGGATCTCGAAGCATTATGTTATGGCGGCTTCACCGATTCCAATACTATATGCAATTGTATGTTGATGACCACTTTCATTGGCAAGATCGCAGTTTTTGGTATGGTTCTCTGTTTCTTCCTTTCATAATGTTTCACTGAATGTGCACTAGATTTGGGTATGGTTCTTAAAGTTCTTGGATTGGTGGTTGCTGTTCTTGAATTGGTGCTCTTGCTGTGATATTTTCTGGCTGTTGGAATCAGGTTGTTGCACATAAGATTTCTGTATTTTTGGGTCAATGAAATTTTATGCAGTGTTGGTGTGTTTCGGGCTTTTGAGTATATGATTAAGGCTGATTGCAAGAAATGTTGGAAGTTGAAGAAAGTTATGAAGATAAAGTGGGAATGTAGGTGATTTTTTCTGCTGTTCCTCTGGAAATTTATGGAGTTGCGAATTTTTGCGATTCTGTATCTGTGATCTGGAGGGGTTTGGTGATTGAAGGAGTTGTTTTTGGGTATATTGTTTCTGGGTCTCAGGAGTGTCAATCTCCTTGGTTAATGTTTGGTGTTAGTCTCTGGGAAGATTTAGGAAGATCTCAGGAGTGTCATTCTCCTTAGTTAATTTTGGTGTTAGTATTTGGGAAGATTTAGGAAGTTATCAAGAGTGTCAATCTCCTTAGTTGATTTGATTTCTTGGAGTGTCATTCTCCTTGGTTAAGATTGGTGTTAGTATCTGGGAAGATATAAGAAGCTATCAGGAGTGTCAATCTCCTTGGTTGATTTGGTTTCTTGGAGTGTCATTCTCCTTGGTTGATTTGGTGCTAGTCTCTGTAAAGTTTTAGTTAGTTCAAGATATTTTTTGCTCCAATTCCTCTGTAGATGACAAAGACTTCAACAAATTAGGATTAGCAACTGTACTGTGCAGAGCATTTTCAGCAGCAACATAAGCTTTCTTGTGCGATCACAGAGCCACCACCAATAAATGAGAAAGAGCCAACATGGCAGAATTGATGAACGACGATAGCCCCTGCAGTGTGAGCATAATCTTCCACCACAACATGACCTGCCAGCAATGTATTATTTGCAAAAATGATGTTGTTTCTGATCTTGCAATTGTGGGCAATGTGATAAGATCCCATGATAAGATTGTTATTCCCAACAGCTGTTATATCACTCAACTTCAAAGATCGGTGGATCGAAGTATAGTTTCTTGCATTATACAAGAGAAGTTGCATGAGTGATTGATGAAGAAGAAGAACGTGGGTGTGGAGAGAAGAAGAGCTTTCTTGTGGTGCAATTTTCGAGGGGAGAGGTGGTAATTGGCACCCGGTGGTATTCATTTGTTTCGGGTTTTCTGCAGTGTTCTTGAAGCTTTGCAAACATCTTGGTCTTGCAGTTCTAGATTAGTTTCAGAGCTAACTAGTTCAAACTTCACTTGGCTACACCAAGTTTAGTTTGAGGGGGGAGTAATAACTGATATAACAGAAATATAGTTAAAAGGGTATTATTGTAATTGGGTTATATAGCTATATAAGGGATTGTATAGCTATCATTTCCTTAAGTTCATTTGTATACATTTTCTCTAATCAATCAATACAACCAATTCTTTCTCTTCATCTTTATCAATTCTTCATCTTTTGTAATGTAGTTAATAAAGATGATCAGGGAAGGGTTGGACGACGTAATTTAGTGGTAGTGTTTGGTGTCATCGTAGTGTTGAGTTGGGTGAGACTTGGGGGTAGTGGTGGTGTCTGATTGTGTGAGATCTGGTGGTGGTGGTGGTGTTTGATTGTGTGAGATCTGGTGGTGGTAGTGGTGTGAGGTAGAGATGATAAAAGTATAGTTCAAGTTGCATAATAAAACAATAATATATTAGATGGCTTAAATGTAGCCCCAAACTACATTTAGCCTTAATGACTGAAAATGGCCTAAAAGATCAATTAAAGTCAGCCAAGTGGCTAGGTGAGCCTTTTTTTTGTTTTTTTTTTCCCTTAAGTTAAGCTTAATTTTAAAGTTTTTTTATTTTTTTTTATTTTTTATTTTATAGCCACTTAGGTGTTTGGTAGTGAGTGCTTAAAAAAAAAGCACCCATGAAAAAAAGCTGTGAGGGTTTTAGGTGTTTGGTAAACTAAAAAAAAATGGCTTATTTTGGAAGTTGCTGTGAGAATAAGCTGAAATCAAAGGAAAAAGCTGAAGCTGCTATTTGTACTTTGGAAAACTGGCTTTTTTTTCAAAGCACACGGAGCTACAATGCTCCTTTAAGGAAAAGACCCACTATCAAGCTGTTTTTTTTTTCCAAAAGCACTTTTACAAAAAAGTTTACCAAACACTCTGCTGATTTATTTCACAGCCGCTTATTCTCACAGCACAGCCGCTTATTCTCACAGCAACTTTTTTTTCAAAGCACAGCAATACCAAACTAGCCCTTAGTATTACGGTCTAGTGATATTTCCTCCTCACTTGTAAATGAGAGGTCTTAGGTTTGATTCTTGCCAAAGGCGAATTTGAACCATATTATTGCTAGCCTATTGTGAGGCTCAGCTCAACTCCCTCCCTCTCAGTGTAGATAATACCGTTTGTTAAAAAAAAAGTATTTTTATATAAAACTTATAATCATCATGATATATTCCTAATTAGTATAATTTCAGTTTTCATTTCAACAAACATGTTGAAAAAGACAGTACGTAACTCTTGTTTGATTGTTATCCAAACTCGGAGTTGTTAAGCAAACTAAGCTTAGTAATTTTTAAACTCATGTCCTTCCCATCCCATATATATGTTGGTTAGATTAGGAGATTAGGATTAAGGTTATTACAGTTGAATGACTAGCATAGTGGTGTAAGTTGGAATAGTGTTTTCGATTTTGAAAGTAAAACTTCCGAATTTGGACTCCAAAATTTCAAATTCAATATATTTTGGAAAATTGGAATGAAAATTGAAATGCATTTCTATCTGCCCGCGCGTTTCATGGGTGAAGCTTCTGCCTTCCTCACATCTGCTTTCTTCACCTCTGATTAGTAGGCCGTTGTTGTTAGAAACTGGAAATTTCCTCTACACTATATTTCTAGCCCCCAAAAATGTGGGATCCATAATTCACACATTATCATTTAATGGTCAAATTAACCGATTGACTAGTAAATGTATGACATTGCAACGAATTCGCAATTGGATGTATGATATTGCAATGTTGAAAAGATGAGGTATGAGTTTGTTATGTGATCCAAACTTGAGGATGCAAAATGTAATTTACCCTAAAAAGAATAAACATACTAGTATATATACCAAAAAAATTGAATTTATACGTAAGCATATACCAAATATTAAGAATGAACAATAAATTGCATGTGCGAAAAAGTTTGAGAATTTTCAAAAACATTTATTATATGAATTTCTAAATTATGTTCCGAAATTTTTGAGATTACTCGGATTCTGAAAATTCTGAATTTGAGATTGTGATTCGATCAGATCCGTTCCAATTTCAAAATTTTGAAACAGAAATTGAAAACTTTATTTCCAATCGGATCCATACGAAAATCAGACCTAATAACTAGCATCACATTTGAGTAAGGGTTTCACTTCCAACGTCCAACTTGACAAATTTGCATATTTGTATGGGAATGCGGTGTAAAGGAATAAAGAACAATAAATATTGAACTCAACTAAATTCAAATATACATATATATGGAATCAATAATGTTGGAGGAATAATGGATTCTTCAAACGTTCACACCACGATAACGAAATATGTATAAAGTCTAGATGTTTCTGTAGCAAACCCTATCTCCCACCTATCTTCCTCCTCCTCTCATTTTCTCCTCTCATCTCTTTCATTTCTTTCCTTAATCTACTGTCTACTTTTAATGTACGTCGTAAAGCTAGAACGAATTTGAATCAGTTGTTGGTGTCCCTCTCGATTCTGACTCATATATATATATATATATATATTATATATAACGTCAGAATATTAATATCTAGGTTCATAAAATGGACCGAAAACATGGGAAGAGGCCGCTGGCTTCGGTTGAATCAGAGGAAAAAGAGGAGGATCAAATCTTTCCTGTTTACTCGACTCGATCTCAGCAAGACACTTTTGCCATGGTTTCAGCTCTAGCTCATGTGATTGGAAAAAATAGTGACCAAATTAATAACCCAATTGATCAAGTGCAAGGAATAAATCCATTAATAACCTCACAGTCCAGCCCTACAGAGACTCAATCACAACCAGTACTTCAAGATCAAGGTATTATATTTTATATATTATCAACAATGAATTAATCTTCTTTTTGGTTCTCTGTAACAAAAATAACTTTTTGGTATATTTGCAGCAGAACTACTTGATCTTCTTCATAAGGGATTTAGGGAGCTTCTGTATAACTAATCATATGGTTTTCTTCCACCTTTTAGTTATGTGGATTGTGGCGTCCCTATTTTCTCCTACTGCTCACTCTTTATTTCTGGCATTGAGATTGGATGAAGAGGTTGTGCATAAATATTTATTTTAGGGAGACTTTGGATGCGGTCCCTAGTTATGAACAATCTTTGACTAAAACCTTATTGGTTTTCAATTTTTGATCCAAGTCCCTGAAATTAATTGATAATTTATTTCTATGTACGTTACTATATTTTTTAAATTAAAAATTAAAATTTATAGTTGTTTATAGTAATGAGATTTTAAATAAAAAACCATAATTTGTGGGATTAAAAATATTAAAATATAAATATACTATTGTGTGTGTGTGTGTGTAAACATGGGTACATTCATAAAAATAACCAAAAAATTATTGTATCAAAACATGGGTACATTCTTCAAAATGGGTACATTTAGAAAAAATAAAAATGGGTACAAATAAATAAAAAAATATGGGTACAATACAAATAAAACTTTAAAAAATATGGGCACAAAAAGAATTTAATATATGGGTACAAATTAAAACTGAAAGGAAAATTGGTACAAATTAAAAAAGGGTTGCAAATTAAAAATGGGTACAAACTAAAAATAAAAATATATGATAAAAAATTTAGCCATAAGTATAAATATACTAATTGTAACATTTTTAATATTAAATGAATATATTTAGAAATAAAAAATATTTTATTATTGAAATAATTAATGATATTATTAATACAAAGGACCTTGATAAAAAATTGAAAAGTAATAAGGTTTTAATCAATAGAGTAGTAAAAATAAGGATGAAAACCTAATTACTCCTTTATTTTATATAGTTATAGATTATCACTCTAGCATTCCTTTCTCTAGTATAATGCTTCAACTTATTTATTAATTTTTTCCTGATTTGAACTTTATACATATATTAGAAGAGATAATACCCAAGTGGTGTACATTAGGATTTCGTGACCCAATATTAATTTTGTGATAATCATCTTGGTCGTCAATTTTTTTTTTCTTCTGAAAATAAGACTTTAGCCCATGGAAACTCAATTTTCTCCACATAAAACCCGAAGTAAATTTTTTGCTCAAATAAAACTCATTGACTAGACTCCACATAAGCAAATTCATTAATTATGTTTGACTTTACCCATTTAAAATTTTTCGGATGCTTAAAACACCCTTATTGAATGTTTAATGTACACAATTAATTCTATGCAAATTGTAAGGGAGAATTAATGATTTTACAAAAAAAAATATTTGCATATAAATGTAGGGATTTGTTGGTTAGTTTGGCTCTCGAATTCCAATTTACCATTACAACGTGTCCATATTATATATAGGTAAATCATTGTACTTTAAAATATATAAAAAAAAATTGTTGTCAAAGTAAAAATATATAAATTAAAGGAGATAAAAACTAGTAGGTAAATTAATTTTAGGACAGAGAAAAAGAAAAGAACTAACTATAGGTTAATTATTTGCATATACAATCTAGATATTTGATTCACATAAAAAATTTAGGTCAATTACGTGTGCATAATTTACCTACTATTATTGAAATTTACGTACTTGCATAATTTAGGAAAAATGCCAACAAAACATGAGAATATTATTTGCATATATCATAGGTAAATTGCCAAAAGAAATATGAGAATATGTTGTTTATATATTGTAGGTAAATTACAGACTATAGGGCAATATTATTTATATAGGTAAAGTAGGGACGTTTAACTATTATATAAGAAGAATAATTACACCGAATAATAATGTAGTCATTATTTAAAGTAATGCACTAGATTGTTGTAGAAATTAAAAATAAATAAATAGAAAAAACATCAGGATGATTAATTAGATTTTAAGGCCCTTGATTGAAGCTAATTTTCAAGTGTGGGTTGTGGCAAAAATTGTAAATAATTTGTATCAGTAGGTTACTTATATTCTTATGTGGCAGTTTATTTGACTTTTGGGTTTTTGTTGGATGTTTAATTATATGTGGGTTTATATTTAGAAATCATGATTTTTCAGGATCAATATCTAATGAACCTTTTTTTTTCTTCATAAAAACCTGTCTTAGTTAGTAAAGTACAAGTTCTGAGCTAATGTTAGAGGGACCATATTTTCAAACAAAAAGTGAAATGTTATAACGTGTCAAATAACAATTGAGCACCATGGATAAGAATTGAACATAAGAAGAAGCGAGTATTGACTATGCTCAAATAGCACGATCCTTCTAGCATTACTCAAACTTAGGTTCCGTCTCCACCTATGTATGAAATGATTCTTTTTCAGGTTTGATATTTTTGAGAAATTAATTTATATGTTTGTGTGAAGGAAATTTGAGGAGACAACATTACAGAGGAGTGAGGCGGAGACCATGGGGAAAGTGGGCTGCTGAGATTCGTGACCCGGTGAAGGCAGCCCGAGTGTGGCTGGGCACTTTTGACACAGCTGAGGCTGCAGCACTAGCTTATGATAAAGCAGCACTCAAGTTCAAGGGAAGCAAAGCTAAGCTAAACTTCCCCGAGAGAGTTCAAGGGAGCTCTGAGTCAGGTTGCCTCACATTAATAACTACTGATCAACAAGACAGCTTGAACATTAATCCTCCTCAGCCTAATATTTCTCGACCAACATCTTCCAGTGTTTTCGATTGTACACAATATAATAATGTCACATCTTCTACATCCTTGTTGTCGTCGTCCTCCATGCCATCTCAACAAGCGGCAGAGCTCCCAAGCTTTTCGATGAAGTTCGGTCCTTCTTTTTCGAGTTCAAGTTCGGGCCTTCCTCATAAGTATAGGAAAGACTTTGACACCAGTCACTCAAGATGATAAGATTAATAGCTATGGAAACGGTAGGAGATCAGATTGAACGATCGATTAAGGAGAGTAAAAGGTTAATATAATTTTGATGCATGTGTGTTTTTCTTTCCCTTTTTTGGTTTTGTTTAATTTCTTCTGGTCTAAAACAACTTCTTTCTCATATCAAATTAAGTTCACTTCAGTTTGTATTTGATGACAACTAATTTGACAAGAAGCTAGATAAAATTTTCATGCATGTGTGCGCCAAATTCCATGATGTGTGAGAATGAATTTAATTAACCCAGCAAGCTTGCTAACTTAACTAAGAGAGAGTGAGGGTTTGTATACACACCTGGCGTAGAACATAATATGATAAACATTACATAGCCCATATTAGGGCAAAATTTAGACAGCTAAACCTTGACAGATACGTTCATGGTTTTATGTTCCACTATATATATATATATATATATATATAGATCTATCATCTATGCATGTACATGGTAACTTTTGCTTGTTTTAAAATTGCTTGTTTTAGCATCGATTTGAAATGTGTGGTTATTGATAATAAGGGTCTCACACGTTTGTCACTACCAATTCAGAGTAATATTATTTAAAAACATAAAGTTGATGCATTTGTTGTTATAATATTCTCCAGTATAGGTGAATCTTGCATCAAATTATATGGCCTACTACTTTATTAGGCGTGTGATTAATAAGTGTGTTAGTTTTATATATTCAAATAAAAAATAATTATGTTATTAAATTTAGGATAATGAACGATGCAGTGCAATTACGTTAATCATCATTGTTAAGACGTTCAGTTCCTATATCATATTAATATAACTGCTCTACTAAGGTCCTAACTTTAAGGACTACTAAGGTCCTAACTTTAAGGATTTATAAGGTCCTTGTTCATATGAGCCATCAAATTAATCTTATAGTAGATTAAGTTATCAACTTAAATAAAAGATTGGAGGAAATTGGATGTGTAAAGTTATTAGGGTTTTTTGCAATTGGATTTGCTAATTTTAGATAGTTCATGAGAAGACTAGGTTTTGCAGGTGGAAGAGATCCGACGTGACGTAAAACCTTCTTCTCTTCTTATTTATTTTGCTTATTTGTTCTATCAATTAGTATTTTGTCTCTTAATAACAAAAATTATTTAATCCAAAGCTCATATAAAAAAAGTACATCATAGGTTCTTAAAATGAAAACTTTAAGAGAGTAGTTGTCATATTAAATATTATCTAAAGTCCATGGTGCCATGTCCAAATTAATGGATCCATTCAAAAGTCAAAAGTAATAGTTTTATATCATCTTTGCGTTTCACTAATATTTTTCTCAATTTTCTTTTTGGTTTGTGTTCAACTTGAACAAATGGATTCATATCTTAGGCAAGAACCGCCACCACAGAATACCTCCAATAATGGTATATGCCATGTCCAAAACATCATCTATCAAAAGTCCTAATTAAATATTGGGTGTGCATTAATATTCCTTGCACATTGATTTCAAACATGGAGCAAAGTCTTATTAGATATGATCCATCTTATTAAGAATTTCCGTCAAAAAATTATGTGCGTGAAACACACGTAATCTTCTTCTAAAAAATAATTGGTGCAATTTTTTAAATATGCATGTGTTACATGCTCAATTTTGATGAAAATTATCGTCGAATTAGCTTTCAAAATCAATACTCCACATTATATCAAATTCAAAGATCAAGAATAAAAACCAATTTATGCTTCTAACAAATGTCAAGCATATGAATAGTTTTGCATTTAAAAAATATAAACACAGTTACCCAAGGTGTACTCGAAGTCATTGGAAAAAAAACAAAAGAAAAGAGGACAAAAAGAGTAAACTTCCCACTCCTCGTATGAGTTGTGAGATGACTGGTAAGTGGGTCGCAATTTTTTTTGGACTCGAAAGAAGAATGATATTCGGCTGGCGTTGACTTGAGTTTCAGTCTCCACGCCAATTGCCAAATATGGATCAACTGTTTGACTTCTTGGTCTACTGCTTCTGTCTGTGTTCGTTTCATAGCCGACTCAACTTGTTTTGTCGGCTCCAAACTTCAAACCTTTCGGCTTTCACATTTACTTTTTCTTTCATTTCACTCGTGTAAATGTAAATACAATGATTTCCACACAATTCGTCTCTCTTCTCACTGTTCTAAAAATTGCCGCCCAACTTCGCCTAGCAGTGGCGGAGCCAGGATTTTAGGTGAGGAGGGGCCTCACATAAATGTGAAAAAAATTAAATAATACATGCTTGGAGTTGTGAGCTAATTATTTTTTAGGCTCTAAATGTTTTTTCTATGTCGAAGTTAACCTTCCATTCTCAAGTCAATGAAAAATGCTAGGGATACTATGTTTTTAGACCATATTTTAGAAACCACATAATGTGACCCCGTTGATGATTGGATTCCTTCTTTGGTGATTTAAAGTAGTCCAACCATTAAGTACTATACAATCATGTGGTCACAAAATATGGCTCAAGTAGAAGCTATCTATAGCATCACTCCAAGTCAATATAGAATAGATTGGGAATTTCTGAACAAAAAATGAGAATTATGGATTGGGAATTTGGTGAACAAAATATATGAAATTTTAAAAATTTAGTAAAAAGTTAAAGAGAGCAAAGATAAAATATATAAAATTTCAAGAAGCGGAGAAGGAGAAACTCAAAGTTTATTATTCTTCAGTTGGCAATGTAAAAGAATATTTTTTTTTTGATAAAACTAAACTAGACTTTAGATTTTAATTTTAAGAGCTATTGATTTGTTTATAAAATAAGATTGTAAATTTATTTTTAGGACGAGTGTTGTTGGGATTGAAAAGAAAAAGAGACTTCTTATTTTAACTATTAGTGAATAGCAATTAAGAGTTTTGTGTAAACTAAAAGAAGTATAATATTAAGTTTATCCAAATATAATACATAATTATTTAGAAAGGTTAGTTGGGGGATCCTTAATGAGGGTAGGCCTTGGCCTATGGTGGCCTTAGAGTGCCTCCGCCCCCTGTCGCCTAGGCTCTTGTAGATATGTAAATTTCGTTGCATGCAAATGATGCATCACAAAGCTTCACGTGGCATATGACTCATCACAAATGGACAAGTCATCAATGACATGTGGCACAAATCAAGCAAAGGAAGCTTAAAACTTCCCCAAAATTCGGCCAAAAGGAAGAAATCTCCTTAAAATTGGCAAGGGGCCCAAATTGCTCTCAAAACCGGAAAGGAAACTAAAGCATCTTCACAAAACAAGCAAGAATTGAAGGTTGTTCACAAAATAGGCAAGAAAGCCCTATAATTTGGCCAAGGTATGGGAAAGTGGCTGAAATTAAGACACAAAACATGCCTAAATTCTCCCATGGACGAATCAAGACACAAATCAAAGCCAAATCCATCCAAAGGCAAGCTTTGAGAAGTCTATAAATACAAGGTCCCCAGATACAAATAAGGGTCGACAATTTCTACATTGAAGGGTCGAAAATTACATATTGAGAAGAACCTCTGCACAAATCTTTGAAGACTAATACGCTACCAAAGCTCTCTTCGAAGAACGCACAACCAAAAGCCGAAGCTTTCTGTCGACCAAAGCCGAAGTACTCATTGAAGAATCAACAAGTACTTGTGCTGATTCGATCAAGACTTTGTTGCAAGCTCAAAACTTGTAACGACATTTGTTTCAAGATTAGGTCGCCAAGACCCTTGAATCAACGAAATCCTACATCAACACTACCCTTGCCACAACCTTAAACCTGAGGTGAAGATCATCCAAGCGTTGTTTCAAGCTCAAAACTTAAAGCAATCGTTCAATTATTCGTTCGAGATCAAGTCATCGCGACCATTGGATCAACAACCTACGCATCTACATCAAATTTGAAAACTTAATCAGAGGAAAATTGTAAACAGAGATTGTAACCTACAAATTCAAATCAATACAAATATACTTTGTACATGTGTTCTCGTTTCATTCGATACAGAAATTTCGTGTTTACAAATTTGGCATGCCCAGTGGGACATCTCTACCTTTCATCTCTGTCTTCAAATCTGCAAGAAGCACACATGGCACCAAGAAAGGATAAAACTGTTCCTGCAATCAATGCGAAGAACAAGAACATCATTGTCGCAAATGGTGGCACTTTGGGCGTCACAACCCGAAGCAAAGCAAAAGCTTTCTCTGTCGTGCTTTCCACCCCTACATCGACTCTGTCGAATGAGCAAGAGTACCCGAGGCACCATCATGTGATCACCCTGGCCTAGCTAAGAGCGCTAAGGGAAGAAAGCTCGATGAGGTACTTCGAGTCGTCGACTTCTGATGCTGACTCAAGCAGCATCTCGTATCCTGTAGCCATGCAAGTTATGATTACTAGTGTGACATCCATCGAGAAGCAGCTAGCCAAATGAACAAAGCAATTGCAAGGCTAACAAGGAATGTGGAAGATGAGGATTTGCAGATTGCTACGCTCATCAACCTTCTAGAGGCGCAGCATGACAAGAAAGCTGACCTAAAGGTTGATCCGCTAAAGGAGGGAACCGACGAGAAAGATGAGCCTCTAGTGGAGAAAGCTAAGGAGAAGTTGGAGGTGGACTGAGCTGCGACGCTCATGAGATATCTCTCTATCCAATAGTTGCAAAAGATGATCACAAGCACCATCAAGGCACAATACGAAGGAAGCTCACATGATTCCGTGCTTTACTCAAAGACATACTCCAAGAAGATTGATGCCTTAAGGATGCGAAGGGGTTATCAGCCACCTAAATTCATGCAATTCGATGGAAAGGGCAATCCTAAACAACATATTTCCATTGAAACCTACAACAATGTTGGGAAGGAGGAAGACTACATCGTCAAGCAGTTCGTGAGCTCACTAAAAGGTAACGTCTTTGACTGGTACACCTACCTCGAGCCCAAGTCCGTCAATAGCTGGGATCAACTTGAAAGGGAATTCCTCAACCGCTTTTACAGCACCCGTATTACCGTAAGCATGCTGGAGCTGACAAGTACGAAGCAATGGAAGGATGAATTTGTCGTTGACTACATCAATAGATGACATTCATTAAGTCTGGATTGCAAGGATCGGGTTTCTGAAACCTCTGCCATTAAGATGTGTGTTTAAGGCATGCATTGGGGGTTACATTACATCCTCCAAGGCATAAAACCGAGAACATTTGAGGAGCTGGCAACTTGTTTCCAT